GCTGAAAGAGTGATACTATAACTGTTGGTCTGATATATATATATATATATATATATATATAATCTAGGTAAGGGATTAAATATTGATAAAAACTAAATTTGACACAAAAAACGGGGGTCAAGGAAAGGAAAGATTATCTCTAAAACTTGGGATCATGGGAAACCTTAAAAAAGAAACCCCAATGATTGGTACTTGCATCAGATAATTATTATGAGCAAGCTATGGAACAGAAGTTACATTTAAAAAACAAATTCAGATTCAAAATACTCAAAGTATTATTGAAAAAGGTTATTTTTTTTCGTACAAAGCTCGTCATAAGCAAATCTCAACATGAATAAAATCACACTTACCTAAATTCGACTAAGCTTCAAAAATATATATCAATATGCTGCACATGTTAAAATAAATAAGATAATAAATAAGAGAAATAAATAAGAGATAGATGCTATAATAAATAAGAGAAAATTATGTTTTTATTTATTTAGAGCCTATGGATTAGTTTCAAAGGAGGACGGGTGCAGTGGTGGAGAAGCCGTCCTCGGGGACGGGTAAAATTTCTGTATATATATATATATATATATATATATATACATATGTTGCAACGTAAATGATGTCCTCCACCAAAAGATGACGTCAAAAAAACAAAACAAAAAAAACGACGGCATGGCTTTCCATTCTTTCAACTTTCTTGTTTTTGGTCAAATAAAAATAATTTTGACTATATTCGATAAATATTTCTAAGCATATATGGGCATTCACATTTTGAACCAAGTGGTGCAAAAAATTGTCAGCCAGAAAACCTCAAATAATCTGATGCTATTAGAAAAATGAAGCAAAGTTTCCTATTAAAATCCTGAAATAAGACGATTAGACAATGGTAAAAAATTTTCACCCTATTTAATGAGTATTTTTATAATTAAACGTGTGTGCTTCCTAGTTTTTTTTTTTTTTAAAGATCAAATTGAAAAAAAAAAATTACGATTTCGTTTAGCAACTGAAGTTTTCCCTCTCCCTCGAAGTGAGCTTTAGCTACTATTTTGAATTTGTTGAAAAGGAGGGGGGATCAAAAGGGTCGAAGGCTATTGGAGCATCCTCACAGCATGGAATTTGCATTTGCGATTCCACATAATCGCGATTCACGCTTGCACGAGCAGCTCATCTTACATTACATTTTCCCTCGGCAATCGAATGCTGTGTGTGCCTTGTGAATGGTCCTTTAAACACTACTATAAAGACAAGTGAGATGTTGTTATCTATGATTTTTTTTCCTCTCAGTCGAATGACACAAAAATCAAAGTCGATAGGACTAATAATTCAGAAATCATAAGGGATTTAGTAAGCATGAAGTGCAAAAAAATCCATATTTTATTTATATTGATTTCGCGTTTGAAACTCTTATCCAGAGAAATAAGGTACATTTATCTTCCTTTTTTTTCTGTATAATTAATCAAGTGAAACCAAAACAAAGTTTATAAAAGTAAGAGTTTAAAAGTTATAATATAATGCTTAAAAAGTACAGTTTTGAATTAATACCCATTCAAACGTTTGACATCGTTAGAGAGAGAAAAAAAAATTATTGCATCCTTTATATTGTTTTATGCTGAATTGAATGCGAACAAAACCAAGTAAATTTTACGAATAATTAAGAAGTGATGAGAATTTTAAGTATTAAATTATAAATTTTGTCATTTATCTTATTATTCATAAAACACTTATTACTTCTAAGCTCTTAGTTATTTATTTATCGTAAAACAAAGTGCAAAACGTAAGCGAAACAACCTAAATAACTTTTGATCTAACGATCAAATATTCACTCACTAGGACTCAATGGTTGTGATGGGGTAACTTCAAATATGCTAATTAGTTAGTGCAGAACAGGGTCAGATTTAAGCTTAGGGGAGTCTTAAGCTACTGAAGGTAATGGGGCCCTTCCTTAAATGTTCAAATTCATTTTCAATACCCTAAGATCAAACAGTTTTCTTATTGTTAATTAATAATCATCAAATTGTCTTTTTTAAAGCATTTGATTACGTTAACTAGTTGTCAAAAATATTCTTATTCAAAACAAAACTATACAAATGAGAAGAGGAGGTAAGGGAAAGGGAAGGGTTAAGACATCCATCCGGTTTTCTCGCCAGATGGCGTATTCGAAAGTAGCGATCGCGAATTATTATTATAGTTATAATTTGTAGTTAGGGGTCAGTAGTTATATTTTTAAGAATATGAAAGTGTATTGTGTTTACAGAAATGTTTGCATCTCTTTTAATTAATTTTTTTAAGGCATATTTTTAACTAGGTACTTTTGTTTCCTCTTCCAACCACACAGCAAACCGAAGGTGCTCTCCAATCCAGTCCCTGAATACAGTTGAAGGAAGTGTTTCATAATCAAAAATCGGCAATAAACATAGGTCTCTTAAATTTTAATTCAAATTTTTTGTTTCAATGTTTATTTAGAACTGCCTAGGAGCTTTATTCAGGGGCTTTCCAAAAACCTCATTCGCTATCGCAACACTCGAATACACCATCTGGGAAGACTGGTTCCATATCTTGCCTCTCCCCCTTCCTTCTCTTCTTTTTCTCACTTGTATAGGGATTTACTATAATATTTTCCCCTTTCTTATTATTTTTAGTATTTAATTTTCAAAAAAAAAATTTTTTTAAATTTATACGGCACTTTCTTTTAGAGCTATGTTCAATGTAGTTTTCAATTCCACATAGTTTCCTAACTTAAAAGGTTTTAATCTTTTTGAAGATCATGACANAGTGTATTATAGGTAAGTAAACAACTTTTAAACTATTTTTTTTCATTGTGTGCCGTCAAATTTCGAAATCGTTAAAAAAGTGCCGCCACAAATAAAAGATTGAGAATCACTGGTCTACACGCTAAAGAAAAAATCATGCAAAGTATTGCCATGGAAAGAGAGTCTGCTCTACGCCACCTGTAGCCCATTCTGATCACCAATACTTACCTCACGTAGAAATTCCCAACTTCATGATTTACGGTTCGCGGTTAATTGAAAATTTAAAATAAATAAGACGTGTAAATGTTAATCGTAATCTTAATCTGAAATTCAGTTGTTTTTTTTCGTGAATCATATATTTTACTAGTCGTTTACTTTTAAATAGTCTGCATTTATTTCACTCAAATTTATCAATAAAGGTAGATTATTTTAACTATTTTATACATAGTACTTTATCAGAATTTTAAAAATGAACTGATAACACTTTTTATTAGTTTATAATTTTGATGATTCGTACCGATTTTATATGTTTCAAATATCGCATTGCTTAATTATTTTTTCTAATTTAATTCAACCGGCTTGAGGAAAGACATGAATATAGTGTGATTTTACGATTATATTCATGTTTTTCCTATCACTGATCACACTTAATTTGTTGAATTGCATAACTATTTTGTTATTGAATTGAAAATATAAATTTTAATTGAAAAGATTGGTTCTCTGAACATTTTGTATTATACCTGTTTAATAATTTTTATTCAAAAACTAGATATTACTATTCTAGTTCGGGTTTCAATTAATCGTGACTGCCCATTGTGGATAAGAGAATCATATTTTAAAAAACATATATCTACATATGTTACGATTTTTTTATTAAAATTATTAATTTACGTTTTGTTTTAAAGAAATAGAACAAAATAATCACTAAATCTTGGAAACTACTGTTTAAAGTCTGTTTAGCGCCTTGGCGATTGTAGTTGGTGCATCAGATCACTATATGGAAATAACTCCTAGTTAAAAAAAAGAATATATCATGTACTGAAGAAAAATCTGTAAAAAGAAGGATATAAAGGCTCAGTTACAGAATGCCTTCATTTTCTTAAAAGCACACTTACATCAAAAGGCAACATAAATTCTTTGAAGAAAGTAAAGAAGAAGCAAATGAAAGGTCTGTGGTTGTACAAGTAGAAAATTTTGCAATTAAAATTCAAAATTAGGTCCAAGCTGCTTATTAGCATCATCAAGCAATCCTCACTTATCAATAGGTGACGATTTTCATTTACGTTTCTTATGAACAAAAAAAGGGACTGAATATACGTTTAAGTAATGAAATGGATCACGGAAATGTAACTGTTTTTACCTTCCTTGCTGTTTCAATTGATAACTTGTTAATTATATTTCTGCAATTATAAAGCATTTTTTGAGTGATAAGGCCGTAAGCCAATTTCAGCAAAAATATCTGTTCACTAATTTAAATTCATGTTAGAACAATATGGTGTAATGTCAACTTGAAACTTTTTGCCACTAAAAATGCCATGGGAAAGGGACTGCTGATGGTATTGGTGGTATTATAAAATGTTTAGTGTGGGGAATAATCTTGGCTGGAAGATTGGCCACAACTGCAGAAGAATTTGCAAAAGTAGCTGCAGAAAATACCAACCCAATATATCAAAGTGGCATTTATTTCAAAAGAAGAGATAAATAAATTCAAAGCAAATCTTGCAGAAAGAGGGAATAATTCCCATTTTCTTCCAGACACATATAGCATTCACTACTTGAAACCTGTAAGAAACTCTTTTACTGAATATAGTAAATATTTTCTTTTCTTTTCTAAACTGAAAAGATTTCACTTTAAAGAGAACAGGCAAATTATTATAAATATTGTTACAGGTGAAGGTATAGAAGAGTCAAATACACCAAGCTATGAGAATATGCCAAAGGATGTATTAATAGTTGGGCAATTTCTGTTGGTAAAATGAAAAGGAAACAGATAAAAAAAAAGAACAATGTTCGACAAAGACTTCATATAGTAGATGAATATATAGAAATATTCTGTTTGAGAAAGCATGTAAATGAAGGAAGGATACTATGTTTCCAGAGAAAGAAGAAAAATGCTCGAGACTCTGATCAAATTATGTAGAGATTAGAGAGTCCTAAAATTACAACAGATGGCTCTGGTTCAAGACTTCGTTGTATATTTAAATTTTATAATATGCCTTAAAAGATGAGTGAATTACTGTTAACTGTAGGTTTAAATTTTAGAATGCTTTTCTAGTTCAATAAATTATTGTAAATTGAAGTTTGTCATTTTTAACTTTTTGTTATTTGGTTACCATTAACAAGTGCCTTATTTCTATGGTTAATATAATTAATTTTCTGAAATATAGGTCAAATTATAGTAATTAATCCCTTCTTTATGTATTCTTATTTTTCCAATTTTTTTCTTTTTATAGCTTGGCTAAGTTTTAATGAAAAATATGATAATGTGATAATCATATCGAAAAAATGGCCTTCCATTACTATTTTTTAAATTTTAAGAAATGTTATAAACGGAAAATTCCTAGGTTAGTCATTTTTATTACTTAGCTATGAAGATTATGAAAGTCTAAATATTAATCATTAAAAATATGTTTAAAATTTTTTGTTAGAGTCAAAAATACATTGATTTTGTCCTTTTGTTACTGCTGGAAATTTACCTTTTCTCTTTTTTAGTCTTTATCATTTATTTAAAAATTGACATACTGAATGAAAACTTTTGTTTATATCGGCATTTTTGAGAACTACAGTAAACTCCCAGATTCGTGGAATTGCGTGGTCCATGAAGAGTGGATAAGCAAATTCGCAAATTATCCGCAAATTGTTTGAAAAAGACACACATCATGAAATTTTTATTATAAATGATTATTTTAATTTCTATTATTACATACCCTCGATTAGCAGTTTTATTCGCATTTTCTTTTGCATTTTTTAAAAATTTCAACGCTATTAAAAAAAAAGCAAAAAATGATGTGCGAAACTGTGCATAAGCCATTTTTAAAAGCTCTTATCAGTAACAAAATTAAAATAGACAACTGAAAATAATTTTGAAATCATATAGCCCATAAATTATTCAAAGCCCTGCTTCATTCTTTTTCCTTTAGGGGTGTTATGTGGGGACCATCCTCATTTGTTAGTTATAAATTTTATAACACTGATAAAGAGTTCCAAGAACAGGGGTCTGTCCAGGCCGAATTTACTACCGTTTAGCGGTACCTTCACAAATTCAATTTTAGGTGAAACGGAAGTTTCACAAATTCAACTTTAGGAAAAACGGTAGTTTCACAAAATACTTTTTCTTCAAATTTTATTTTTGTATCCCTTAAGAAACGATAAATCTGTATTTTTACCATGTTTTTGTATTGATTTTGTAATATAATTTTTAATTTTTCACGAATTATGTCTAAATTTTCACAAAATAGGTACCTTTGCGAAAAAACTAGACAGACCCCTGAAGAATGTGTTACATGTTGACTAAATAAATGACTGAGGATAATTCATTACCATTTATTGTATGAAGCCATGATTAAAAAATTATTTACTTGCTTTCAATATTATTGCTTTGAATAGCAACAATACGATCCAGGAGAAAAAACTGCTTGATGGGCTCCAATTCTATTAATTAAAATTTAAATACCATCCTTGTAAATAACTTTGCTCTTTATGAATGACTTGCTATTTTCACCTTTTCCTTGCTTGGTTTTACTTATTATGTATTGCTTTTGAAGCTGCAATATTTAAATGTAGACCCATTATTTGATTAATTGTGAATACCTGGGCTACAAACATAAATGTTGCTAGAATGTGGTTCTGAAAATTCTTAAAATAGTTTCATCTCTATGAATTTATTAATTTTCAATTGTAAATCCATGTTTATCGTTGCAACAAAAACAAAGGAAGCAAGAATGATCCATCCGCGGATTATCTAAAGTTTATTGTATTGCATTTTTTAAAATTGCATTTAGTATTTCTCATGAAAAACTGTTTAAGTTTTTCTCCTTTTATCTTTATCATTTATTTAAAAGTACACATACTGAAAGGAAACTTTTGTTTTTAGTAGCATTTTTATTTTGCCGCAGCAGGTCCTAGTAATTACTGTGTTTTTGGAAAATTTAGATTATTCTAATTAAGTAATGCAAAAATTAAGAACAATATTTTATTTATCAGTTTTGTAGTAGGCTTTTTTATTATTTTTTATTTATTATTATTTATTTTAATTAATTGTTTTGAATAACTATTAGTTTTTTTACCATTTAAATATTTTAACATCAGTTATGGATTTGCATTTTTTTTTTAGATGGCTTCAATTCCCTCAAATATGAAACTGGTTATATCTATCATAAAATTCCTTAAAGACGAATCAGCGCGGGATACTTTGACTCCAGATACTCGAGAAAGTTTAGAAGGTAGGTTGTAAGATGTCTAATACTTTAATCAGGGCTGAAAAAACCTGAGTTTTACTTAAAAAAACCCAACCCAGGTGGGTTTTTGGGGGTTTAATTTATTTTTTGTATAGAACAATGTATATTATTAGTATACAATCTTATAACATATATAATTCATCTTATATAATTTTATTACTAAATCTATAACAGCATGCAGTGTTAAGATAAGTTAAGTATAAATTTTAACAAACAAATTAAACTGTTATGCCACTTCATTTCATTTTTATTAGATGAGGTATAGCCAAAAATGTTTCTCAATTTCGATTAATTAATTTAATTTTATTTAAACTCTGTCTTATAGATATTTTAAAACAAAGTTTGGTGATAACTGAAAGTTAGTCCTATCAGAATAACACCCAATATTCTTACCACCCCAGTAGCTTTTCTTTCATTTTTAACAATTTAAGATTGACCATTATCAGCATACAAAAAATGAGATGACTGTTAATTATTACTTATTAGTTGTACAAATTTTTTTATTTGAAAAGTAACACAGAACCAGAACTTAAACCAACCAGACAATGGAACTCTAAGCCTATATGAAAAAATAATTAAAAGGACGTGTAATCAAGCCCTTACTCCTTTCTATTTTTTAACTAATATACTGAATTCAAAATACAATGGAAAAAAACTTTCTAAATACAGGAAGAAAGAAGCAGAGGATTGGATTTCTAAGAAAAATGTTGAATGATTAATTCTAGTTCTGTGTTTCAGAATAAAAGATCAAGTGTGTACCCACACTCATTATTTAATGAAAGTCTGTTGAAGAAAACAAAATAATTTGCCCATTTTATGATTTAGTTAGCTGGCCAGCAGCTATTGAATGCAGGTTTTTTACAAGTGAACATGCTTGGTCCAAACTGCAAAACAGTTAAGGTCTTGAAAAAGCTTGTTAAAGTTTAAAGACATTAAATGAGTGAAGCAGAACCAAAAGAAACTATTACAGAACTTATAACTAAATTAAATATGGCATTCATTTTATTTTTACTGTGCCAATATATCATCAATTCATGTAAATTATGAAATTTTCTTATAAAATTTATATTATGTGATATCATTGAGATTGAAATATTTTGGTAAAATACAAAGTGTGTTCCATTTCTGCTATGTCAAAATATTTTTTATTCTTTGAAATATAATATGTTTCCATAAAATGAAAATTTCAAAAATGTATTAAAAATGTTTTGCTCTACTTTTTAGCATCTAATCAAGATTATTTGCTTAAAATTGAGGAAATTGAGAAAAATATTTAAATATGTGTGAAATTATAGTGATAACTGTAGTAATAACAGAAAGAAAAAAAAGGTTGGCAGACCAACTCCTTTTTTTTGTTGTTATTTTTTAAAAATACCCACTAAATGTGGGTTGATTAGTTTTTTTTGGACAGGTGGGTGGGTAGACAGTCCTGACTTTAATGGATATTTTGTTTGCTATAATTTACCTTATTTGAAATGGAATTTTTTTTTAACTTTTTATTAAACCTAATATTGTTCATGCATAAGTAATAGTTATTAATATATGATCAAATTAGAAGTTTTAATAGTATTTTTGTGCAGTAAGATCCTGACCATCTGTAATTTGACTATTGAAATTTTCTAAATTCATTTGACATTGAAATCGATAATTTATTTTATTTTTTCTTGAAAGTAAGCAATCAATTAATCTTTTAATCAATTTCAGTAAGAAAATTTTTTGTAGCGTTTACTTCAGCATTTTCTACATCATCTAAAAATTAAAAATAAACTTTTTCAATACTTCATTATTTTCATTATCTATGAACTTATTTATCACTGATATATAGATTTAAAATAAATAATTGAAGCCTAAGATTTCGAGACAAAAGATTTTGTCTCATTTGAAATGTTTCATTTGTGAATAAAGTGCAATCGTAGTTTCTTTCTGTTTTTAACGATTTCTCTTACGAAGTAGTGAAACGATTTTTTTTTAATGTTTAACTGCTTTGGATAGAAAAGATTTAAATTTTTTAATGATAAACAATAAGAACTTTATTTTTAAAATTGGATATCCTTCTTTAGAACCTTGATTTTTTATTGATTATGAGGAAATGTGTTCTTTTCAGAATTTATCGCTTTTTTCATGAAGCTAGAATGAACCCAGACCAAAGAACAGTTTAGTAATAAATAAAATTTTAGAAACAAAATGAAAAACAAAGAAAAAATTAAAATCTTCTGTCTACAACTAGTGATCGAAAGAACAATTTGTTTAATTTTCCATATGTTCTGTCGTCGTTCCCAACCCTTCCTCACACAAGTCATTGTGCTTACAATAGCAGGGGGTTGAGGGGAGAAAGAACGAAACATTTTATCTCTCCCTTCCGAATTTCACAGTCCAAAGAGGAGAGGGAAGTGTTTCATTTTTATTTTTACTAACACTAAATTTATGTTGGGTTGTTGATGTCATAAATATTTTGGACATCATAGAATCCTTCCGCAAGTTCCGCCCCTCCTATGACTGCCGTGATCATTAATTTTCTTTTTAGCACTTCATTTTCTTTTTAACTATTCATTTTCTTTACTGAAGGTTGAAGGTCACTGAAGAATCTTCATTTTGAAGGCTGCTGTTACATTTGACCGTTACTATTGTAACTAGCGAATGAAATAGTTATTCTTCCTGGTTGCACCTGCAATAAGGTAACCTAATGTGGGAAGGGAGGCCGAATGTATTTCAACATATTGCACTGCTATCTTCAAATTATTTAGTTCGTTTCCCCTACTTGTTCTACAGAATACCATTCATACATTTCCTTCTCTTTCTTTTATCATACTACTACGCTCATTTGCATGAAAGATGTTCCTTCCTTGATGTCGGATGATAAAGATGACATAGAAAATGAACTAGATGATGATTTACAACGTTTGTTTTGTTCTGACAGTGAAGAATCCAATTTCAACAGTTTTGAATAAATATATGATCAGAAATATTTGAAAAGTAAATAAAAGAAAAATGGTGATTTATTTTTATTTTGTGATCAGTTTATTTTTCATCGCATACACATTCTCAACTTACGATTTTGATTGGTTATACATATTTCTTCTGTAAGTAAGTATCATTCTCAATTTTTTCTTTGTATAATAAGGGTGTATATAATTTTTTTATTTTTTATCAGTAACTGCTTTCTAAGTATAGAGTTAATGCTTTAAAGATTATTATTTTTTAAGTATATTTTCATGCATGTGATATTTGATAAAAATTGATGATCGATCGAGAAAAAAAAATGAGAGTGTGGGCTTTACGGAGGTGCGGCCTATAAGATGAAAATTGAAATTTCTAGCAATGTTTTTTGCGGGTGCGGCCTGTCCACCGGAAATTACTGTAGTTGGAAAGTAGAAAGGTGATCCAAGTTTCACAAAGCATTGAAACTGGTTTTGTTTGTCATCAACATTACATTTATTGTTCAACAATTATTGTTAGTTTTTGTATAATATTTTTGTATTTTCCCCTTTTAAATATTAATTTATAACCCTAATGTGAATACTTTTTTGACAAGATTTCTTAAAATTTATATGGATTGGTCATTTAAGAACATTCTTAATGCCTATTTCTCTAGCTGATGTCAAAATTTATTAAATTGTTTTTTAGTTGCTGTTCAGTGCTTGCAAACAGCTTATGATATTGATTCAAGTGATGCAAGATTAACTGAAAGTCAAAAAGATGTCCTTTCATTAGACGAAATATTCAACAGTTATGTTCTGTCATTTGAGGTAAGAAAGTTAAAAGCAAGTGATAGTTTTATTTGTTTATTTTATTTGCTCAAGAAAGATAATGTTTATATTAATGTAAACATGGTGCACAGTGTTTTTAAAAAGTGCCTAAAGGTGTTCATTTATTATTTTTTTTTTAAAAGCTCTTAAAGGTGCTTTTTTTTTATTAGTTGTTTTTAAAAAGTGCTTAATTTTCCCTTTTCAAAAATGAGATTTTTTTCTTTACAATGTCGAACTTTGCCACATGTTATGCAAAATCCTGGTTTGCCCATTGATTGTTCTAATCTATTCAACGTTGTCACAATTCATTCAAACACAATGCATTCATTCAAACACAATGCATGCATTTACATTAATAATACTGAGTAAAAAAATGAATTGGATTGGAATATTTATTCATGAAATAACAGAATAAAAATAGACTAAATATTGTTTTTAAGTTCATAATACAAATGTTATATAAGCACTATATAGAGTTTGCTTTTCAGAGATATGTTTTACAAAACGTGAACTTGCAAATTTTTTCACTGAATTATTAAGTAGATTTGTAAAGGTAAGTGTTATTAGCAGTTCAAACTCTGTATTTGATGTTAGGTATAACATATTTGAGAACCAAAAAAGAGATAATGAGTTAGTTGTTGGCTCTGAATGCAAGGACTCCATTAAAGAACTCTAACAAAGAGAGAACAGAGTTTTTTTCTCATGTGAGAAAATACTTCGGTGCATCTTGTGATTATATAATTGCTAATTTCCTTTATAATTAGAACATGCTGAAGTTGCTGATATGTCTAAAAAAACTGAGAAGACATTTTCATCTGTGAAATATTTTATTGACTTATCTCTCTCTATGCTACTTAAAGAAAATTATGAATCGTATTTTGATGCAGTTGATACTCTCGAGTTAGAGTTTTTGTCCTATCAGCTTGAAAAATGTCCTGAATCTACTATAAATAATGAAAGAGCTGATAAGCAGTGGGCAGAACTCTCTAAAGAGAAAGGTCCTCCAGGAAAACCAAAATATGCGAGATTATCACGGGTGATGTTAGGAATTTTAACATTTCCTCACAGTAATGCAGCCTGTGAAAGACTTTTTAGTCTAGTGCGAAAAAAATAAGACTGAGTTTAGGGGTAGCATGAATGCGTCTACTTTGCAGGCAATTTTGATTGCCAAGTCCCAAATGATTCAGCCTTGCTAAAGACAAGTGTTTGATGAAAAGTTTTTAAAATCAGCCAAATCTGCTACAACTGTAGCACTTAACAAGAATAATTGATTATTTTTTTATATGTGTTTATTGTCACATATGTTTGAGTAATAATAAAATATTTTGTTTTTAAATATGTTTTAAATTACTAAAATCAGCTATCATTTCTGTTTAATTAGTTTGTTGAATAATAATAATAATCAGAAATCTTGTCAGTTGATATGTATTATAATCAATAATAATTGTTACATTAAATCTTATACAGTTACAATTAT